TACATATTCCCTAACAATATTAACAACCCAGAGGGGCTAATATATACCCTTGGAAGAGGCAATGCAGCAGAAGTTCAACTTGTAGTCTTAGTCTATCACTATTAGAGGAACTTTCAGAGTTTGCCTTACCTGGATTTGGTTGAAGGTACTCCGTGGATTTGGACAGAAGCTCTGCTACTGCTTTATTGGTGATATCAATTTTCTAGAAGAGAAACGTAACAAGACATAACTAAACTATACCCCTTTAGTAAAGAATTTATCTGCTGATTAGGTACAATGTATTGTTCTTGTAAACTAAAAGGTTTTATATAAAAATTAATGCAAAATGGGATCATTTTCAAATCTTTTTATATTGAATCAGATCTCCCATTACTGATGCTGAAAAAAACTGAATTGGCACATCAGGTTGAGAAAGCTCAAAGCAAAGAGTGTAAATGAATAACTAAACCTGCAAGACCTACCTCTAGTCACAATTTACATATACTACTTCCACATTGTGGAATCACAATTGCTACTGTATCATCCACTCTGATCTCACGGGTCCAAAACGTACTAGCCCACATTGCCCACATTCAGGTGCATCTAAAACACACTCATATTTGAATTCAGTTACTTGCCATTTCCATTCTTACTTGCACAGCAATTTCCTCTTACAATATAGGTAAAAGGAATTCTTGCTTTAGGACCAAGGAAAAATGAATCTAAAGCCAATCTAGATTATAGATTCAAAATTAATGTATGGAAGAGAAAAAAATGAAGACATTTCTCAACCTGCCAACATATATCTATAAGACAAGTAAAAAAATATGTATGCTAAAGACCAGAACAAAGGGTCCAGCTCTAAATAGCAGGGGGAGAGAGAGAGAGAGAGAGAGCGCGCAAGCACAAGAGCGCGCGAGAGAGCAAGCATTGAAACAGGCCAACACCACATTTTTTCATTGGCTGGTACTTCCAAAAAGAATTTGACTTATTCAGATTTCAGGTGAGGACAGGATTAGAATTTCAAACATACAGATTTTTGCACTTATTTTTATATACTTACACATATGCATCACATATGTTGTTTACAATGTCAATCTATTATAAGGAAAAATATGAGATTTTCTTCTTGCAGTAGTATAATCTTGGCTTCCTTACCCTTTCCATTTCTTGAAACTCTTCATCTAGTTTTGTTCCTTCTGCCCCACTAATTTTTTCACTGAACAACTGTAAACAAAAAGAAAACTATATTATTACTTTCTGAAAAAATAAATATACCTCAAAGTCACAGGAAGTTAGCAGAGACTCACAAACAGTAGTCAAATATCTGTAAAAAACTACATGAGGCAAAAGGAACACTCCTTTCTGTTCAAAGAAAAAATAATCTTTAGGGAGGAAGGAAATGGCCAGCTGGGATTTAAAGGACATTCAACAAAGGGATACAGAAGAGTAAGAAATAATTTCTCATGCTTGAACTGCATATGTGCCCTGTAGAGTTCAGGCACAAAGGCCAGATTCTGACTGTAGAATAGCTGGTGCACATCCAGAGCAATACTTTCAAATCAGTGTTACTTAGGTCTTCACGTTAACGTAAAATCAGATTCCCAGGCTGTATCTCTGCAGGGTGAACACTCTTCATAAAACTCCCATTAATTCAGTGATGAATTGTGTGCGTGTACTCTGGAATAAAGATGCACTGTATCATTGTTGTGAAATCCAGTATCTTCCAGGCTATTTAAGACAAGAAAGGCACACTACCTTCAGACTAGGATTTTAATAGCAACAACTTTAAAAGCAGGATTCCAGCTAGGCAATTCAAACCTTTGGGATATCTGAAATCTTGCCTAATCTTTTGTACACCTCCAGACTTCTGGCATTATTTTTGGTCTTGACACAATAATTCATTGTCAATGAAACTTGTACCCGAGTCACTTTGGTGCTGTAGAAAATCTCATCTATATCACTCAAGCCATTATTTCTTATAGTTTAAATTACCAGCATCATGCTATTAATAGAAAAGAAAAATACTAAAAGCCGGATCCTTTGCCAGTGTACATCACCATGCATTTGGGGGGGTGGGGTGTCACTCTACTTTGGGGGCACTATTTTAAACATAACTTAATAAAAAAAAAAAATCAAACCCAAGTGCTTATTTCCACATGAAATTATTTCTTAAAGGTAAAGCAAGCTTTGTGTTACCATTTAATACCTCCAGAAACATGATGATCAAACACAGAACAGCAAGAAGGGGAGCAGCTGTTGCTTCACTGATAACAGATGCAGACAATACCCAAAATGAATGATTTTGGTCTTCCTGTTCTGAACAACCTGCACAACAAGTCTGGCAGCCTCAGAGATAGGGAGTCTGAAGCTGAGCTGCAGCCATTAGTAATGGAGCTGTCCCTTCTTCCTAATTGATCCTGCATGGGGTAGGTGTACAGTACGCTGCTTATGAGTAAAAAATTAGGAGGACAGGTTGCTCAGAAGAACTTGGTTAATGTTGCTGCTGTTGTACAGCCACAAGAGGACTCCTCTCTAGGGGAATAAACAAGGCCAAACAGGGGATCAGGTTGTTAATGACTGTTTATTTATTGGTACTATGGTAGCACTTAAAGGCCCCTGTGCCACCGTAATACTCATTGTATAAACATGTGACAAAGTAATGGCTCCTGTAAACCAACAGGCAAAGCCAAAGTTTAGAAACAGCATGTGGATAAAAGGTAATGGGGAGATATTACTGGTTGGGATGATGAGAGCAGTGACAGCACATCAGCTGCCTATCTACTGGCATGGCATCAAAGCAGAAAAGGACTATAAGCATGGACTGGAAGGCAGAACGGTGGCATGTTTTGGTGTTTATGAGAAGCTCCTCTAATGGATAAAAGGGTAACACGGGAAGAGAAAGCATGAAGGTGCTGCTTGTAAAATTTAACAAGTGAGCGGTCAAGATCGGTGTCACCAGTAGATGGGGCAGGGGCTTCTCAGTACAGTAGAAAAGCTGGTTGAGGGAGGAGAGTCTTCTCCCAACTCTGCATGGGCAGAAGAAGAGTCTTCCTATGTGAACTTCTCTCTACACGCAGATTTACCTCTTCTGAGAATGCCAAGTGCTGGATGGATCATCTCTCCTGGTGCCTGTATGCTTCCCCTTATGTAAGCAGGACACCAACAGAAAGATTTGCCCAGAAGGACAAACAAAACCAGCCAGAAGACAATAGCTTCTTTAGAGAACAGAGAGCTTTCTTTGAATAGAGAAAGCACAGCAACAGGCATCACATCATGCAGTAGATTCACTTAAACCCATAGACACCTGGGAAATCATTCAAAACAAACTCACTCTGCAATGCTGAATCACAGCAATACAGGCATATTAGAAATAATTAACACTTTTATTTTAGATGTCTTTTTCCTTCTTTTTCCATGGGCAATTATTTTAGATAAAGCACTTCTCTAGTTTTGATAGCTTCCATTCACCTTCCATGCACAGTAATTTAATTCCTCAAGTGAGCAGTACAATCATTCATTTCTTGTAACTGCACATTCATTTCACTATGGTCCTCTTCCAATTACCCTTTTCAGATGGCAAGGGTTGGATGTCCATTTCTTCACATGCTGCGTCTGAAAAACTGCTGTATATAGTAGCATTCTATTTGTGTCACATTACAAATAATCCATTTGTATGTAACCACAGGATAAAAAAAGCCACTAGCACAGATACACTGTTTCAATAGATGCATCAATGGGGAAATCTTTTCTTCATCCCCAGATATCCCTGATTCCTCACACTCTATGATGGCTGTATGCACTTTCACCTCTCCTGGATTAACAGGCACAAATTAAGGCTTATAAGCATTGTTGCTGTGCTTGCCAGTATTATAGCTGTTGATCCCCTTCCTGATAAAGTGATAAGAGTTTTCACAAGCTTTGTGAAGTTTCTATCCTCAGAAGCGCCAAACACACACACCATAGCTTTGAGTTACCCTTTCTATTCTTATCTCTTACATTCTTCTACTTGCATACAGTCTTTCAGATTCATTTAGCTTTTATTTCTGAAATGTAACAAAAAGAAAAAGGAAAAAAGGAAAGAATCCCCCTCAACATGCACATTTTTACTTTCGCTGTAGTCAGCTGCTATTTGATACCAATTGTACAAGTGTGGACTAGTTGCAGTGATAGCGAGTCACCACCCGAGAGAGCATCAGTGTCTGCTGCACTGCCAAACACTGAAGTAAGATATTGAAGGCAAGGACACTGAAGAAAAACAAAGTGATTTATTTGCACTAGTCTCCCAAGAGGACACTGGTGAGGAACTTACTCAATGTCACATTCACAGTCATTTGAGGACACAATTTCTAGAATTCAGACATCAAACTGCTAGATTCGTAGTCATAGTTAATACAGGTGGACATGACCTAGGCCCCTGACATACATTCTAGGAGTGCACCAATAGAGATTCTTTGGGCCGATATCAATGGCCGGTTTTTAACGAGACATATTGGCCGATACCAATCCAATTGCCAATATGCAGCTGAGCAGCTTGGAGAGCAGCATCCAGCGGGAAAGTCTGTGGGGGAGAAAGGTTCGGGGGGGATGGGGGAGGAGGGATGGGGACGCAGATTGAGGTTCCCGAGGTGAGGGAGGGAGCAGGGCTGGGGCTGGGGCAGGCACTGCCCAGCTGGGGTGGAGAGTGAGACCGAGCTGCAAGTGGCTCATCCAGGGGGCGTGGATGGTTCCTGCCACTGTGTGCACCCCCACGAGAGGCGTGAAGTGTGTGCGCCCCCCGATCTGCACGCAGTGTAAGGGTGGGCTGCTGCTGGCTGGGGCCGGGGCACTGATAGGATCTACCCACCAGGGGCTGGGCCAGGCTGTGCTAAGGCAACCAGTGCTGGGAGAGGGCTATAGGACGGGCTGCAGCCACCCCAAAATTTGCCATAGCCCCCCCCCCCAACCTCCACTTCCAATGGTGCTGCCATCCACCCTGAGCACAGCTCAGCCCAACATCCCTGCTGGGAGAAGCCTGCCCTCACCCTGTGAGCAGATCTGGGGGCACATGCTTCCCATGCCCTCCCTGGGGATGCACATAGTGCCGGGAGCCACCACCCCCTCCCCGCACATGGCTCTATCCCACTCCCCACCCTGCCCCAACTGGGCAGCGCCTGCCCCTGCCCTAGCCCCACTCCCTCCCTCACTGTGGGGGCTTTGGTCTGCCCCCTTTCCCCACACCCCTTCCCTCACAACAGACTTACCAGTGAAACCTGGCTGCTCTCCGCACTGCCAGGCTGTGCTCCTAGCCACTTGCATGCTGCACTGCAGCTGCATGCATGCATGTGCCATTTATTGGCCACATCAGCCAGAAAAAGCAAAGTGCGACACAGTCAATTTTTCTTATATTGGTGCTGATCTGATACAGGACCGATGTATCAGTGCACCTCTAATACATTCGCTTTAAGACATGATGGGATCTAATCCCTGATCCCAACAAACGCATCTCCTGCCCTGCCACACTACAGTTACCATACAGGTTTTTCTGGACATGTCCTTTTTGTGTCCTCCTAGCTCCATCCAGATGTTTTTTTTAAATATCAACAATGATCGGAATTTTTCTCTGCCTTTGCTCAGCATCAAAGTTTTTCCAAGCACACTTCCTGGCTTGCCCTAGCAAGGAGCTACTTGGCACTGGAATGGGGTGGGGGGAAAGGGGGAGGAATTGGAGCTAGGACACACGTGGCATTGGGGCTGCAGCAGAGCAAGGGAGGCACCTGTCCCTCTGGTGGGGTAAGGGGGCAGGGTGGCCCTTCCGGGGCAGCAGGGAGCTGCATGGCCAGGCCAGTGGCACCAGTGCCAGTGCCTCTGCTCACAGGGGCCAGGCAACCAGGAGACGCTGCAAGGCTGGGGGGGAAGCAGGGGACTGTGTGTCAGGAGTGAGGGGGACTGGCAGGGCTGGAGGAGCAGGGGGCTGTGGGTTGGAAGTGAGGGGCACCAGGGGGGGCCAGGGACTGTGGGTTAGGAGCACATAGCACAAGCAGTGCCAGGGGGTTGCATGTCATGAGTGAGGAGTATCAAGAGGGATGGAAGGAGCTGTGGGTTGGGAGTGAGGGGCACCAGCATAAATCTTTAGGGCAGAGTACTGTGGGTCAATAGTGAGGGGCAGCAGCAGGGCTGGGGTGGCTGTGGCTTGGTAGTGAGAGGTAGGGGCAGAGCAGGGTACAGGCATATATGCCCCCTCCCCA